ACAAAGAAAGTGTGACATTTGAAGCATTAAAACCAACATACAATGTTGCTAAATTTATACTTTTTTCCTCTCTTGTGGCTTTGTGGGATCTTTTCCTTTGTTTTGTCCAATTCCCTTTTTTTTTCTCTCTCTCCACAATACCTCTTAGGCCTTTATGATTCTAATCTCATCCTAGTATGAGCCTCACAAATTTTTCTGCGTTTATTTTTAGGCAGCTTCAAGTTTCAATGGGTTTATAAATATAGATTTGAACCCACTCAACTCAAGCCATTTAAAATATATAAAAAATGACACTCTTTACCCAAAAATCCATTTGAAATTCCCAAAAACCAAAAAAAAATTGGTGAGAATACCTCAATTTTGATTCGAGTCACGGGTTTGTACCTAATCTTGGAATAAACGCACAAATCAATGTAAGCAACAAATGGGAGGGAATCCCAAGACATCCATGCAACAACACACACAAAGTAGTGACGTAAATCGATCTCAAGAAGAGCACAACGACACATAGAGTTAGTCGTAAGAAGAGTGTGCAAAGTGGTACAAACATAACTCTAGATTTGAAAAAGAAAAAAAAACAAAGATAGGTCCATCCAAATCAAGTGAACCTCAATTTATACCAAGTTTATGCCAATTTTTACCAATTTGATGATCTAACTATTAGTTCGAACCAATCATATATTTGGATCTCAATCAGATCGATCCAACTGATCAATCCGAGTTACGTTTTAAAACTACGATTTAAACAAATGACTTTATGTAAGTGAATATATATGAGACAAACTCTCACTAATGATGCCTATTTTGTATATAATTAGATGTATCGTAGCATAGACATTGTCTCTATTTTCATTGCTTTGAAGTTTGAATTCATCCAAGGCAATCATTGAGGAGCTCACTAATTCAATGTGCCAACATGTTAAATCCAACTCTATAGAATGTCTACTCTCAACTCTCAAACCTTATATTATATAGATTTTAATTATTTTTAGTGTTCTCATTAGTTAATCGATAGAATCATGCCAAGAAGGTCAAGAGGTGACACATTAAAGGACTTAAGAGAAATGGACTACACATGAAGATTTGGGCTAGTTTAGAACCTAATGGGCTTGGAAAGCCCAAGTTGCTCCTCACATGGACCACACCCTAAGATCTCCATTTTCCTCTATTTATATATAGTATATTAATACAGATTTCATATATTTTGGTCTTTTATTTTGGACCACATAGATTAGCATTTTTAGGCCATAGGCTTATTGGGCCTGTTTTCGGGCTTAATGAGCCTTGGGTATTTTGGTATCAATATTAGGCTCATTTTACTTCTTTTATCATTTCTTAGTGTTTGTGATAGGTTGGTCATTGTATTTAGATCATTAGCATAAGATTAAGGCTTAATTAGAGTAGTTAGTTAATTAAGTCAAATTTAGGTTCATTTAGGTTGTATTTGGAGCACATGTGCATTAGCCAAGGGGGCTGCACATGGCTGCCACCAAATGAAACTCAAATGAACTCTAAATTTAACTTAATTAACCAACAAATGTGGTTGCACATAGATGAAGTGCATTTGGATGGAAATTCAATTCAAATTTCAAATTTGAATTCAATTTTGGCGCCAAAGTATTCCTTTGAATGGCACCACTTCTAAACTCTATATAAGCCTCTTTTCTACTCATTTTTATTCACTTTGAACCTTTATGAGGTTTTTGATCATTTACTTCAGCCAAATTTCTCTCAAAGTCACCTAAACTTTCCTTGCTTAGGCTTAAGAATCTGAGAGTTCTAAGGCTTTCATGAGAAATCCTTTGGAGTTTCTTGCTTGAGTACTTCCATCTCTAGCTTAGGAACTCAATTTGCTTGTTCAGTTCTGGAAAACCTTTTCCGGAATTGAATCTCAAGGAAGAAGATCGTGACAATTGGAGAAGGAAACGAAAGAACATCAATCACTTCACTTACCTCTTCCATCATTAATGGAAGTGTTATTTCCTCAATACCAATTGATTTATAGCTTCATTTCATTTAGTCTTGACTAAAATTCAATCCTATTTTCCAGCCCTCTTATTCACTTCTTAAAGGGAAATTATATACAATTGTCATCATTATCCATATATGTTTAATAGTATTTTGATCTATGTTACTAAAATATTTAATGAGAACTAACTTAATATCACAATAATATCATACATAATGAATTTTCTTCATAAATTATTAATAATGTTATGAATTTATTGATCACACCCTTTGTTTTCTTTTATAAACAACAACAAAAAAGAAAAACACATTTTTATTAAATATAAACAAATTTCAAGTATTATTTAATGACTCCTTAACTCTAAAATAATTTTTTTAAAAACATGACTTTTTAGTTACCCTATTTTTTTTTTTTTTGAACATTTATAATAAATACAATTTAGAAAGAATAGTTTGAGTGATAAAATTTAACAAAAGATACAATTTAGAAAGAATAGTTAGTGGTAAAATTTAACGAAGTTAATTGATTATCTTAATGAGTGTGAAATCATTTTTTTTTTTGCTTTTAATAGAGAAAAGGGAATGTTATACATGGTTAATTACATATATAATTATAGTTGATTTTCACAAAAATGGTTAAAAGTAAATTAATTAATTATATTAATTTTCAATGTGTGATTAATATTATCATGAAACTATTGAAATATCTAATAATAATTAACTTTAATTTACACAAGTACAATTTTTTATCAATAAAAATTGAATACAAATGCTTAAGGATGAGTTAGAAATTTATAACACTCGCACATCTTGTTCAACAATAATAGACATAGACTCCTTTGATTTACATAATTAATATAAAATTATAGGATTATTGAAACATTTAATATTATTTGATCACTTAACAAATCAAATTAATCAAACTGTTACAAATATCCAAATACTAAGTCTGATGTATATATAACATCAGCAAAGTAAAAGAAATCATCGTAAAAATAAAAATAAAAAAAAATAGTCTTCTTCTATAAAGAATTCTTTCAATAATTTTTTTTAATCTAATTTTTTATAAAAAAAAAGTGTGCACAATACTTTTATGTTTACGAGCCAAAGTTTTTATATAAAAAAGTCAAAGTATATATTTTATTTAATACAAACTCATTTTTATTTTTTTGCAGATCCATATAATGAGAATTTTCTGCATTCACAAAAATGGTCAATAATATAAAATCAGATAAATTAGGTTATCATTATTACTCCTATTTAAAAGATGGTTGTACATGTCCACAACTTGGTTTTCCTAGCTTATTGTAGGAAAAGGTCGCTGTCTTTTACAGAAACATTGTTTAACAGTCTAGCCTAGGATGTATGTTGCATTTTTTAAGCATGATAAATCAATGTTGTTTCCCCGACATTACCAACTCATTATTTATTTTAGATCAAGACAGCTGAATTTAAAAGTCTTCTATTACAAATATAATCAGATCTAAAGAAGGACATAAAAAAAAAAAAATAAACACGATGATAAATTTTCTGCTATATTTTATTAGCTTGTGATACCCTATTCTGCTGTAGCACGCGCGCATCTTTTTATTCCTCGTCCGCATGTCTTTTGCAATTTAAATGCAGACGTTGAAATTCAACTATACAATGCTAACATTGATTTAATTTTGATGATACCATATTCGAATATAAAATTATGTGGATCCTACTCCAATCTTCTATATATATTCAAAATAATATATATATATATATATATATATATATAT